AGTGGATGCAGGAGACCGTGTTTTCAATGATTAAATTAAATTATATTCACTTCATTCCTCGTGGCTAAGACAAGCTAATTTCCTCAATAATAATGAGCACGACGCCCAAGTTTTTCAGTGAGATCCGTTCTATCCATGGATCTCATGTGATTAATATTCACTTCATGTTTTTCCCGTTATTAGTACGGCTGCTAACATTCTGGCTATAATTATCCTTTTCATTCTAGCGCGCAGAAAATTGCGCTAATGGAACTGTATTTGTTGTACCTCAAAATACAAAAGATGATCTAGCCATGTTCGTTGCAAAAAATCAAACTCATTAGTGAGAGTCGGCAGTGAAAATCACATCTGTATTATCGAAATAACCTACATCAGTTCCACCCCGTGAAAAGGGAAGTGAAGGACTAATAAATGTGGAACTGTGGATTTGCTGCTCACACAAAGCCACACGCGGTTGCACTCTTGCGCGACGAGAAACACGCACATGGTTAGACCACATGAAAGCCGTGTCGTATATTGTCGCCGCTCCCAACCCAAGGCGGGAAATCGTAGCGAGCAGGAATGCGGTGGGTACCAAGCACCAGATTACTTTTGATCCAGCACACAGATGTGTTCAACCGGGTGACCATGGAAAGCGAACTGCTTCAGGGTGTATCCGAATGATCCGGAACACAATAAAATAAGTTGGTTTGCAGAACTGTGGAAAGGTGCACAATTTACCCATTGGCAAACATAATCAATGATCTCGTAGCCAGCAACCACACGAAAATGTTGCGTCCTTACAGGGGTGACATGAGCTACGATCATCATACTCCGTCGATTTTCCGCCGCGCGTGGATAGTGCACACATGAGAATCAGGCCAATTTAAAACCCAGTCGAGACCGTATGGACAATAATTTCAATCTCAGCTAAATTCTGAAAAACGCATTCCTTCTGTAGACCCACCATTTCTACCTTCCTCGATCTGAAAAGGGCTCTCGACTCAGTCGACCGTTCTAAACTGTGGTGCTGCCTTGCTCTGAAAGGTGTGCCCGAGAAGTTTATTTCAATATTACAATCGCTTTATGATAATAGCCCAAGCCGATTTCGAGCTTACGGCCCTTTTTCACCCAATTTCATCACGGAAAGTGGCTTTAGTCAGGACTGTCTTCTCTTCTTTTCTACTCAACTTTGCCATAGATTTAATTTTGAAAAGGCCCTACCCTCGTGCGAGGATAGTGGCGTCTATTTGCTCCGAGGTGGTATACTGTCTGAGTCGGAGCATATGGACGGAGATTGAAATAATTTCCTAGCTTATCTAGATGGTTGGAGTGTTAAGAGGACGACGTTAAGCATGCGCTTCGCAACTTCCAAGTGCAAAAATGTGGCTAAAGGATTGGGTTGGATCAGTCACTCTAACTAGCGAAGCAGTGGAGGAAATTGAAATTTTTTTCTAATTGGACAGCTGCATCTCACCTGGCGGACACATCACGGATGAAGTGTTGGCACGCATTTGGAAGGCTCCGTTGGCGTTTGCCAACTTGAGACATCTATGGCGCCGTCGTAACATCCGACTGTCTGCTCCTGTTATGTCTTGATGTCAAGACGATGTGATCGATACGTACGCCTGTTTGTCTAGGCCCCAAGAACACCGATGAGAAGCGACGGTCAGAGTGCAATATTTGATCATGAACAACAGGCAAATATGCGGTCAGTTGGGCGTACGCGAGCAGACGTGGTGACGCGCCAATCAGATTGTGACCTTGACACTCAGGTTGATCGACCGGACGACAGCTATTTGATTCGCCTTAGTCATCCAATCAGGAGTCGATTCGGCTTGGGCGTCACGAGCGCACTTGTGATGTGACGCGCGCCGCTGCGTGGCAGGACGGATTTCGTGCGCTTCGTCCTAACAGCTCTGTTATCCAAATAGGTAAACTAAAAACAGCAACCCTCATCGCCCCACAAAGTTGAATGTTGCTCACTTTTATATAACATCCACAACCAACCTTGACCAATTACTAATTTCCTTTTGACAGTATGCTTCAATGCGTCCGTTATATGTGTTATTGTATTAGGCAAAAAAGAAAATTCACACTGCGAACTAGTGAAACTCGGGTGAATGCCGACTGAATCACTAATACCTTATGTGACGAAACAATCAGCACTACCTCCTTGTACACAATGGTCTTAAATTTGTGAAAATGCTTCAATCACCTCGAAAATCGTCACTATTCTCATAAACATAAAGTCAGAAATGCAGTCACGCATCTAAAACTTTGATCGGAAGTCTGATTGTCTACGTAGTTCTGATCTTTCTCTGAGCTCGAATACACAGTTGATAAGGACGAATTGTAGTAATGTGTGGATACCGCGCTGCGTTTCCAATAAATCACGATTAATATCATATTTTCAATCATACTATGCATCAATAGGGTATGTACCTTTTGCGTTGGCGGAAGAAATGCAGTGTATTCTATGGTGTCGTGTGTAAATGCTCATGCACCGGTAACCTTTCAGATCCAAATTTCGTCAAGCTCTCCGAATCATTGATAGTTGTTTTTTGCGTAACGAATAGTAAAACCCGTATTCAATATTTTGATCTCATTTCTAGTAATGTATTACCAAAGAATATCATTTTGCATTACGGGTAGTTAGAAGTGAACTGTAAAGGTTGATAAATCCGAAAATAGAGAAATAAAAATAATAAAACGATTATTAAACTCTAACGATTTTCTCGTTAGATCGCAGAAAAAATAACTACTCATGAGTAAATCAATGCTGAACGCGTCTATAAACGGGTGGCAGCGAATTAGCCTACGTGAGACAGGGATTTTCGGTGTTCGCACAAACACAGCCAAGCGAATATGCCCCTGGAACAGGTCAGTGGAAGACCAGCCAACAAATTACCGATACATACCGCTCAAAGCATGTTCTGTATCCAGGCTTTCAAAGTACAGTGATGAGCACTGGTACCACGTAGCAAGCAAATCACAATGCCGAACGATAGCACTCCAAGTATTAAGCGACTCTAAGCTGGCGCCCATAGCCATAGATTTTAGTGACAGGATATTCGATTATTATTACCCTTATATAATGAACTCTTGTCAGCGTACCATTATCAGTGGACAACAAGTTTCCAGTGGGTGCATTGTCAAATATTTCACAGTCATCATTTCCCGTAATCTTTCTTGGTCTCCTCATCCCACCAAGATGCCTAACAAAGTCAGGAATCTTACCTTTTACGTTGTCCGTTTGAAAATGCTATCTACCCGTACCCACTTAGGAAAAAGTTCTGTTTTCTCTTGCGTCCTTCTCTACTGGCATCCCTAAAAATCTTGCTCGGTGTTCATGTCAAAGACTTCAAACTCATACTTAGATCCATCAAACACGTAAATCGATACTGTGTCATATCTCGCGAACTTATTGTACAGTTTATAATTTCACAGCACTTCAACGCTTTCTAGAAACTTCCTGCCAGGTTGCTACAATACCCATCTCACCCTCTTTACTCACATCTTGGTATCTCTACATCTACCACTCGCTCCAAGGATAAGCACACAGCAGCAAGCACTACAGTATACATGTCTTCTGTCACCATGTACCTTGCATAGTTTCTTACTAACGCCGAACTCGCCCCTGAAAGCATTGAACTCAAACTTTGCTGAATTTGCTTAATCGTTCGTATATGCAGTGATTCACCATTATTTTTGTCTCGATATTGCCATTTATATCACAGAAGAATATCGCATGACGAAACTATTCTACAAATGAGCTCGTCTGGATCGAACCTATGGGTAAGTTCAGTTCTAAGAAACGAGACCGATTTTCCCCGGGACAAATCTGATCGCTGTGATCTTCCGATCCACCAGCAATACAACTGCTCAGCAGGCCAACAATGCAGGTCATCACCTGCACTCCGAGAATGCATCACCAGTGAACATGATCAAAATGAGATGATCTACACAAATGAGATGTGAAAAAAGTTACTGGTTACAAAAACTGAAGCTGGTGGTGTCCTGTGCGATTGTGTTTCCGGACTAAAGAATATACAAGGTAAACGAGAAACAAGCTTAATGAGTAAACTACGTTGCACTCGTGTACCTAGGGATGACTAATGCACACAATATATATCATTAATAATATCAATCCTAAAGCGAAACCATTGAAGTCGCATGGACAAGGAGATCGACACACACACACACACAAACCTCGATCGAAGACGGATGGTCAACCGAGCGTTGCAAACGGAATGTTCCAACATGTGAGACACGCTGCTTGGTGGCCAAGCCGCGAGCGAGCACTCGCCAAACAACCTGGAGAGAAGCAAAGTGAAAAGTGACGTTGACGTTATGAGGAGGTTCGCGTCAGCCCCAGGACAACGGACAAAATAGACGGAGAAGGAAAAAGTCAACAACGAGCTATGAAGTGTATAATTTGGTCGACTCGAAAGAATAAGGGAAAGGAGGGAGGGAGCGGACAATGACAACATTGGCGTACTGTACACTAAAGCGGAGGAAGACGAAGATCCGTATCAGGGAAATCACTGGTCCAATCATCTAAATGAAGCGGTTTAAACACATTTGTGGGTGGCTGGGTACAGGTGAATTTGTCCAATTTTTGGTACAGGAAGATCCGACACGAGACCGGGACATCGACCAGATTGTCAATCTGTGAATGAAAAATGAAACGCCACCGGAGTTGTCGAAAAAGGTAAGTCAGTATAAGAATAAGAAAAACCAATTGGATAGAAATTCAACTTTTATTACAAGCAAGCAAGCTGAACTCATATTGGAAGAATACCTATTATTCAGAAAAACGTAGCGAATTCAAACACTATGTAGATAATTGGCTTACAGGTAAGCTCAGATCGTGATTAGTATTTTCACAGAAGTACGACGGGGTTGCACCAGAACTAGTGTAAGGAACATGTACGAAACACAGTGATCAGATATGAATGAAACGTGTGAACAGATGGATGCAAATAATTTCGCGGGATAGTTTCGTTATCACAGTTCACATAAACCGGACAGTAAATCCTGGTTGGTCTGAATTAATGATGGGTGAATGAAATTGAACACGCAAGTCAGAAGACAAACATTGCGGAAGGAATTCCTTTCGTATACTCCCATCGGTCGCGTACGCATAATATTGAACCGTTTCAGTCTGGAAGGGGAGGGTAGTCACTTGTGAGTAGTGGTATGGGATAACTGATTTTTATTGATTTGAACTGACTATCCTTCGGACTTCACCTTCACGTACAATCCTCAGTTCATCGATTCAACCGTACACTCGGAAGCACTAGACTCGCGTTTCGCTCTTATTGGAGCTCATCAGTAGTGCATATCCACCATCCTGCCCGGGATTTGTACTCCGGACCCATTGCATGGAAGGCATGTGCGTTACCACTGTGCCCACCAGCTTATAACATGGCTGAACCAAATTGCCAATTCATGTTTGTTCAGGTATCGTCTTCAGTGATAGTTCATTCGACACCACAGCAACGAAGGGAGACACACATGACATACTGTTAACTCCAATCGAAAGTCTGCTTTATTTGATTAACCAGTTGTGGTTGTGGCATGGTTCTCAATTTAAGTCAGACAAACCGGCACTGCACAGCTTGAGCAACAAACGATTTGCGTGCATAACAAAGACAGGTATAGGACTATCTGAAAATAACTTCGTTCACTAACCTTAACAGAGATCCGAAACGGACGGTGGGCTGTATCCCGAGTGATCGGTTCGCTTGGTAATGTAATAACGGATTCATTCACAACAATATCCTGAAAAAGTTGGATGAGTTGGTTGTGCGGAACATAGAAGCAGAAACACGAGAAAAACTCACATATTTCCGAAAGGCAACTTTCACGTGCTTTGCGGTCAAAGTCCAATTTGATGCCGGATTCATGGGTATGTACAGGGTCATATTGGACAAACGCTGTTCGGACTCGTAACCCTCACCGCTAAGCACTTTAGGTCGACCCTAGATTAAACACCAAAGACAAAAGAAGAGCGAAGGAAAAAGATGAACGATCGATACGAAAGGGAGGGGGAACATACCTTTGCCAATGTTTGAAAATGTTCTACCCGTTCGGGTGTCGGAAGCTCGGCCATTCTGCATAGGTAAAGATAACGCCAGAACCGGTTTCGATGGATGTTCACCACCGTACCCATGACACCCAAACCTTAATAAAAGGAAGGGTGATAAACGAGAGGAACAGCATCAATTCAACAGTTGTTTGTATCGTCAACAATTACAGAGATTGACGTAAAACCGTAAATAAAGCAAGCGTCACTTGTTAGCGCTGGTGGGCTAGGCTCCACACCGGCTTTTGTGTCCAGATGGCAGTTAATTGCTTTGCTGCATCAGTGTGATCGGAAGTGGTTGTATTGAGTTGTGGCTGGTCACCCTTCTCTTACATCTCGCAGTGTTCCTATGGGACCAAGGGACAGTCTCTACTGAAGAAGAACTACTCACTGCCTTCATATGATGGAGGCGTTTACCCACCAAAGTAAGAAGACGAAAAGCCAACATCTGGGGCTATAACCGAGTCGGTGAACCACCGGTAGTTCGTCTCGGAGAGTTGGCTAAAAAACCGATCTCAAATCAACCAAAGAAACGCATCTGAACCACGCACACACAAGTTCCTGGTTTTGGCAGTGGTCAGCGGCTCGATTGATCATTGAGGTATATTGAGCACCGTGCACATCTGAACTCTCCCAAAGGGTGTGATATGATGAATTGGACACCATTCAGGGGAGTGCGAGTTTCACACACCGTTTCGCTGCATTGTAGGTTAGAATTTGGCTAGTCGTAGGCTCTAGTTGTTAAGTCCCCAAGCAAGTTCATCCACTTTGGTCTAGGCAACTTAGTAGTCCTCCGCCTACTAGCAAATCAACGGACGTTTTTCTCTTATAAGGAATACCGCGATTTGTTTGGCACAGCCTGGACTCAGATAAGGGTATTCTATAAACCCATTTGTAAGTTAACGTTAGCTTGGATGATGTTCTACGGAACACCCCTTCTATTCTAGCTTCCGGTGGAACTTTTGCATATACTATTGTTCCGAGAAGCAGAAGGGTTAAACCCCATGGTTACGAGAACCTACCGGTCATTCATGGAAGCCGGCAACCTAAGCCTCGGGACTTAGAGTCGCGAACGACATAAGGCCTCATTAGCATACGTGTGATATTAAGCAAGGCGACAGAAAAGTTGCCTACCAATAAAGCTCCTCTGAAGGAACTGAGTTACTGATTACATTGTTTTGCTAGAGTAAATTGCATAGAACCGCATTATCAGTGAATAAGTGCAATATGGTGTGTTCTTTTCCAGGAGTATGACGTCAAGGTTCGGACTATTTTGCTCTAGAGTGAAGAAACTGAGTAAATCTGTGCCACAGATGCTCGGAAGTCTTCACTATTTTAGTCAATCAGCATCTAGTGATCGCATTCCGCAAACGACGAAGTCAGATGATAGGCAAATATGGTTGTCCGTAAACCGAAGCTACTTCACCTTATCGCCTCCGAAGGAGTGGATATGGACAACGATGCATACCTCACTGTTTGCGACTACTGATCATAGCTGGAATAGACGTGATGGTCAAACTATGACTTGGCTTAGTGTCATGTTCTTGTTCACACGGTATGCACCCTTTTCTGTCGTATGTTACATAAAGTTTTTTTCTATTGCAGTTCATATAAAGCAATTAATAATTGAGTACAGCATACAGTTTCCACTTTTGGTCTTCTCTGTTCCGAATTCGTTTGTTTGTTTCGTAAAACGTTTTATTTAGAGTATCAATTCAGGTTGTTGCCCCTCAACAACTCCGGAAGGGGTTGGAGACTAATACCGGCGCACGAAGGTGCTTGGTTAATGGTTGTAAAAACTGAAACTGAAACCGTTTGTTGAAACCTCTAAGAGAAATGGCCCAAAAGCGTATATATTGTGCAAACCTATTGTTACCTCTTATGCTTTAGCCCTCCTCCTCCTAAACAAACGGGAAGATACTCTGAAAAATACAAAATTAGGGTGTAAAACCAAAAACCACTATGACACACTATTGTCTTCTGCAGTCGATCGATTTGTTTTTTCTACTACATACAGTATTAGTATTTTGCATGTTTCAGGTTGGGCCTCATGCACTGATTCGAACACCCCAATCTTCCCTTTACTTCTTCAGCTAAATGGTCAGTCATTAGACAGTAATCAAAACAGGTAAAGAAAGTACATGGTTAGGGGTTACGGAAACTAATGCTCATACAAACACAAAGGGCGGTGGCGCAGTGGTTTAGTCGCTGTCACGGGCGTGCTCTGGACCCTATGGTCTGAGTTTCGAGTCCCGTCACCGCCACCCAACTTTGGTGGTAGACAGCTCTGCTGACGTCCGGTTCAATGCCACGCCTAACCCAGAGGGGCCTTTGTGGTTCGCCACTCCAAGATCCGGGGCTTAGGTTACCGGTTTCCATGACGGAGCAGGTCTTCGTGACTATGGGGTTCGCCCCATTTGCTGTTCACAACACAGATGTGTGTAACCAAAAATGCCAGATGACAACAACTGCAAAGGTTCAGTTCTCAGTGCAGGATAAAAATAATAAGATTACTGGGATCTAGATTTACGGAAGTGTTATACGTACTACTCTGATTTCTTATCATGGCGGAATCCTTGAAAAGGTATGTATGCGTAGTTAGATTGTGTAATTTGTTAGCTAACCAGAGATTCGTTTTTTTTCATCCTCGCTGAAAATAGACACAAGCCCTATCCACCTTACACATTCTCCCTAATTTGGTATGCACTGTGAGTTTGACAGTTAGTGGGTGGTCATAACTCACCTGGGACATCAGCAGTTAGAAGGACATCAATTAGCGGCTTTTCCTGTTCCTCGCTTTTGACCTCCTCGAAAACCTGCTGTTTAGCAGTCAACTTCGGCGTAAAACCTTCCGCAAACGCCACTGAAGGGTATTCAAGTGGATACTTTCTCCTTAGTGTTGTGATAAACTTAAAATTGTTATAAACTCGAGGGGGATTTTTAAAAATACTTACTCGCCCTTTTGAAGTAACGGTTGGAACTATGACGCGCAAGCAGCGCAAAGGGAGCATACTTACTGATAAAGTTTCTGCAACAAATATGAAACATAACTTATTAAAGGAATACCAGAGGACGGCATGAGTCAAGTGAAAAACATGAAAATATTCTGGAATTATATGACATACTAAAATCCAATGCTATAGACCAGCATTACAGATATTCTAAGTGAAGCTGGGCAACTGCTAAGTTCCGACCTCCGTCGACTATCTGGTTCCTCGAGCATCCGTTACGCTCGTGTCGTACACCTGTTGGCATGAACCTACCACAGCAAACATGACTATCACAACCTATACAAACCTGAATACTCAACCCTCAACATTTATCTATTGTTACCATTTCAAGCTGTATGTGTACTTCTCTCTTATCGGGCCTTACTTCTTCTTTGGGCCGACTTTGTCATATAATCCGGCCTTAAAGGATCCTTCTTGAAGAACCTTCATCGTTATTTTCGCCGCGAAAAGAAATATCACTTATATTTACTCGTCCATCTCCTGCTTGAGGATGAGCTGGGACCAGGAATTTTATCTACGTGGTTTCGTAAGGTATATGGAGCAGGGTAAACAGTACTATCTGGGTGTTTCACTACTTGGTCACTCAGCTCGGAGTCGGAAGGAGGCTAAAGGCACCGAATGAGGCCTTTTAAATTAAGGTGATATCTCTAGCCTTAGTGTCGTGTTTGTTATTCGTTCTGTTTCTGTACGCTGTTAATCACGTCGTTCTTTTTGTTTTTCAGCCTATGTATTGATATTAATAGACGAGTAAAGCGTGTCGTTCCTGCTCACGTGTTCGCTCTCTCTCCACGATCGTATTCGCTTGTTGTCCTCTCGTCTATTAACTGGTGGACCGCTACTTCCGCCCTGAATAATTCGACACATTTGAACGCTCCTGACGCTCCGAAGCAGTGGACCTATTGGCTTCGAACGTTCAAAGCCTTCTTGAAACGCGTCCAGGCCGAAGATCCAGACAAACTAGACATATTGATTAACTTCTTATGGCCGATTGTCTATGAACACGTATCTGATTGTAATACCTTCGACGACGCCATATCTACACTTCAATCCTTGTACGTACGCCCTAGGAATGTAATTTTTGCTCGACACCTCCTTGCAACCTGCAAACAAGAATGTGGATCAGTTCGTCCAAAAGATCAAAACACTCTCGAAAGACTGTGACTTTCGTTCTGTATCTGCCGAAGAATACCGTGATGACGCTATGCGTGACGCTTTTATTACCGGATTATTGTCAAATAACATTCGAACGCGACTTTTAGAGCAAACGTCTCTCAACTTTCAAACTGCGTACGACATGGCGAGGTCGTTAGAATCTGCTCAACAACAGTCT